CCTAGGCCTGTCAGAAACAGCCTGAGAGAAGAATCTTAAGGGACCCAGACCGAGAAGGAGGGAAAGATTTGAATTTTGCTAAAAAAGGGTAAGCTTTGCTCTTGATCAAGACAGGTGTGAGACTTCCCCAGAGTGAGGAGAGGAAGGTCACCTGGTAAAAAACACAGGCAGTGAAGAGGAAACAAACCCAGCCCCCTCTGACTGGGCACTCGTGACCGCGGAAGGTGAGTGTAATGGTTCACTAGCGCAGCCATAACGTAGTACAATAGACCCGGTGGCTTAAACAACAGAAATTGCTTTTCTCACAGTTCTGGAGGCCAGAAGTCCAAGGTAAAGGTGATGGAAGGATTAGTTTCTTCTGAGGCCTCTCCCTTTGGCTTATAGATGGCTACATTTTTTCCTGTGTCCTAATATGGTCCTTCTTCTGTGGGTGTCTGTGCCCTAATCTCTTCCTATAAGGTCACCAGTCAGATTGGATTAGGGCCCCACCCTAATGACCTTATTTAACCTTAATCACCTCTTTAAGGGCTCTGTCTCCAAAAACAGTCATATTCTGAGGGACTGGGGGTTAGAGCTTCAATGTATAAATTTGTGGGGGAGACACAATTCGGCCATAACAATGGACTTTAGAAACAATCATTTAGAAACGAGGCTCCTTAAGGATGTTTTTGAAAATGCCAGCCTTTTTCTGCTGCAGTAAAGGGAATTTAGGAAAGGGGGTCGGGTTTCACAGGATGAGGTGGGCAGGCATCAGATGCAGCAGTGAGAAACCTCAGGGGAAAATGAAACTGCCAAATTCTGACTGCTCAGCCAGCTACGCACTCCCAGTCAAAACCTCACTGGGTTTTGTGTCCCGTTTTCATTATTTAAGAGCATCATTCTCTCTTGTTTATTTATTTATGTATTTATTGTTTCATTTTTAATTAAGGTATAATTTTTATATACATATAATTACTCGTTCACCTTTTAGTGTGGAGTTCTGTGAGTTTTGACAAAAGTCGTGTACCAGCCACCGCAGTCACGATACAGATTCCATCACTCCCAGAACTCACTCATTCCACTATAGTTGCTCCCTCTCCCAGTTTGTGGCAGCCACTGATCTATTTTCTGACCCTATAGTCTTGCCTGTGCAAAGAGCCTTAATTTACAAACAATGCTGACAGATCTTAAAGCCCCAAACAATAGAAACAGCAAATTAGAAATGGGGGAATTGGGGGCTGGCTCAGTGGCTCAGTTGGTTAAGAGCTTGCTCAAGAGTGTGAGCAACAGCGTCGCTGGCTTGATTCCCACATGGGCCAGTGAGCTATGCTCGAGCTGAGCTGCCACTGAGCTGCCAAAAGGTGGCAGGATGGCTCAGCTGGTGAAACCATGTGCTCCTAACAACAAGGTTGCCAATTTGCCTGCATGGGATGGTGGGCTATGCTCACCCGCAACTAAAGACTGAACTCGGCACCTTGAGCTGAGCTGCCACCTGGGTTGCTCAGGGCATAAAGCGCGCACTCTTAACAACAAGGCTGCTGGTTGAACTCCTGAATGGGATACTGGCTACACCCACCCGCAACTAATTGAACATAGCACCTTGAGCTGAGTGGTGAGACGGGACTTGGAGCTGAGCTTTCTGCGCCCTCCACAACTAAGATTGAAGGACAACAACTTGGCTGTTCCCCTCCCCCAATTCCCTAACACTATAACACTAACACTGTAACACTGTTCCCCTCCCCCAATTACCCAATAAAATCTTAAAAAAAAAAATACGGGGGAATTGAAGTGGGAAGAAGCTAGCTGACCACATGAGAAGCTCTTGAGAGACTTGCACAGAGGTGGTTAGGAGATGCAAAGAATTTGGGGCTGGTTGACCTAAGCCCTGCCCTGCTTAACAGGGTCAGTGTTTAGGATAAAATGCCAACTCGTCACCCAGGCTCCCCAAGCCTCCCGCCTTCACCCTGCACCCTCCTTCCCTCACCTGTGTTGCACCAGCTGCATCGAGTTCCTTCCTGACTTGGGACACTTGCAGTAGATGTCCCATGTGTCCAGAATGCTCTTCCCCTTTTGTCATTTCTGGTCCCCTTTTGACTTTCAGCCATCAGTTTGGATATCAGCTTCTCAGTGACCCATCTCAATAGCCACCCAGTCATTCACCATTAACGTCGTTTAGTCTTTGGCACCCCTGCCACCACCTGATGTTTTTCTGGTTCACACATGCATTCGATTTGTAGAGCACCCATGAGCCCCGGGCACTTGTTTTAGGCACCAAGGCAAGAGCATGAATAAAACAAGTCACTTCCCTCCTCGTGGACATTACTTTTCAGGGAGGGGAGAGAGTCCAGCACAAACAAATAATGACAGAATGTTTTAGGTTGTGACATGTGCTGTGGGGGAAAAGGAGCAGGCCCAGAAAGCACCCAGGCCATTGGGCTGAAGAAAAATAAAGGGACAGTGGTAGGAGCTGAGCTTAGTGAGGGCACAGATTGCGTAGGACTTTGTCAGCTAGTGAAGGGCCTTGGGAAACCACACAAGATTTTAAAGAGCAGAGTGACATCGCCTGAAAGGAGAAAGAATATAGGGAGCCAAGGTAGAAACAAGGGGACCTGTTAGGAGGCTATTGCAACAATGGAGGGAGGTGGTGTGCAGGGGTGAGCCAGGGGGTATGGGGCAGCTGGGACGCAGGTGCTTGGCTGGTGGGAGTGCCGAATGGAGTGCAGAACAGTGCAACCACTTGGGAAAATGGGCAGTTTGAATCAAGTTAAACATTCTCAACCCCATGACCCAGCAGTTCCACTGCTAGATATCACAGTCAAGTGAAAACATGTCCACAAAAAGTTGTGTAGAATGTGCAAGGCAGCGTTATTGTCACTGCTGTATTTGTGGCCGCATGGAGTGGTGAGAAGACACGCACTCATGGAGACAGGGACACAGCAGTACTGCCCACAGCCACACCTTTCCTTCACAGCATGGCCGTGCTTGTTGTAATGGTGACCCTGAGGCATGAAAGAAATGAGATGACACTCAGAGTCCTGTGTAAGAGGGCAGAGAAGCGTGTCATCCATCATTCAGAGTTGAGCAATCAGAAGTGGTGAGAGAAGGCTGAGTGGTGTGGAGGTTGGAAGGTTACTAGTTCTATGCACTGGTGAGAGGTTACATTCCTGACTAATGTACAGTGAGAGCCTGGGAATGGCTTCCTCTTGGGAGCATGATCTGGCCTGGCTACTCCACAGGCAGTACTAGAAAGGCATTTGTGGTTCTAGGGATATACTCACAGAACTGGGGTATGGGTGCCAGCAGCGACCTATAGCTCTTGTGGGCCTCTGCTGCCCAGGTGGAGTGTGCGTTCAGGCAAGCACACAGCTCTCCTGCCCCTACAGCTCCTCTCACTCTTCCTTGGCAGGACAGAGTTTTCTGATCTCAGGCATCCTAATGAGTGTTGTCCCCTTTACATGAGCTGTCGCGAGAGGAAGTGCATTTATTGGAATGAATCTGCTCCTGCTCAAAATTTCTAGATTGTTCCCTTTCACACCTCCTTCAGAGGTAGTTTAAGCTGCACATAAACCCCAGAAATTTCATTTAAAGTGGGGGATAAAGGTGGGCTCTCTCGAAGTGGAAATTGGTATGCTCCATCCTTTCTTTGCAGAAGTGTGAAATTAACCTCTCTTTCTCCCCCCGCCCCTTTTGCTTTGGCTGCCAGATACTTGAGATTTATTTATTTAGACATATTTAAATGTATTTAAACATATTAATTGCTATTTATACTTTAATCACTTGACTATATAATTCTGATCAAGAAATCAACTTAAAATATAGATAACAATGCCTAAATTTAACAAACCATTCCATTATGTAATTTTTTTTTAAAGATTTTTATTGAGGAATTGTGGGGAATGGGAACAGCGCTGGGGAATTGGGGGAGAGGAACAGACAAGTTGCTGTCCTTTTTTGTTCTTCAGTCTAGTTGTGGAGGACGTTGCTTCACTGGTCCAAGCTAGCACCATCATTGCGCTCTTTCCAGGCGAGGCAGATCAGTCGCTGGCTTCTGGACTGGTGGCTCACACTGGCTGCTGGCTACACACGGTAGCCCATGGCAACCCACTGCAGCAGGAGCTGCAGCCTACGCCGGGCGACTCACGGCAGCCCAGCTCCAGGTTGAGCTGTTGTTCACCATCTTAGCTGTAGAGGGCAGTGTCACTGGCCCTCATATGTGGGATCCGAACCGGGGCCCTCTAGCGTCCCAAGCCAGCTCTTAACCAACGCGCCACTCAGCCGGCCCCTATTATATGATTTTTATTATAATAGTTTTTAGTCATTAGTGCCACAATCAGTCATTTAAGAAAAATTGGGAAATACAAAAAAGTGGAAAGTAGAAAATCACTAATTTTTATTATTTTAATGCAACCATGTGATATTTTTGGTTATATTTCCTTCCGGCCTTTTTCTTCTTTTTTTTAAAGTTCAGTTTCTATTCCTATGTACAGGTGTAGCAGCTTCCTTGGTCCTATTTGCTTCCTCATCCATTCCAGAAACTCTCTTTCCTGTTTCTGTTTCTCTTTCGTTGGCGCAACACGTGTTTCTCCATTGGCGGGAGACACACGTAGTCCTGGAGATATCTGGGCCAGGTCTAGTGAGGGGTTTCATCGGGTCATTACTTCCTGTTCCGTGAAGACTAGGAATTGCCATCCCCGAGGCTTCTCCAAAACCAGCCCGGGAAGAGTCTGAAAGCAGCTCCAAGCGAGAAACATTGCGAATTATCCCTGCGTCGCTGGAGTAAGCGGTCAACCTTCCCAGATGACTCTTTTGGCAAAGACCCCGATCTAACGCTGTGTTGTGAATCGAGCCAAGGTCGCGGCCACTCTGCCAGACAGAGTCCGGGTCTCTCCCCAGGCCCCGCACCCCAGCTCTGCAACCTGCTCAGCATGGGGAGACTGGGGCGGGGCGCGGGCAGCGGGGCCGAGATAGAGGAAGTCTGCGTGCCCTGCGCCTGGGGCCTCTGCGTCTTTCTTCGATTCCGGCGCCCGCCCGGCTACCCTCCTCGACCTCCCGCGGCTGGTGGTGGGTGAGTAGCCGCCAGGCCCTGTTGGGTTCCTGTGCCTTCCTAGGAGTCTACGAGGAGCTCCAAGGTCGGGAGCCCCTGCCTGCGGGGCGCGGTGCCCGCCGCCGGCCCAGCACTCAAGGTGGGGTCCCGGGTCGCCCGCGCCCTGGAGTGGGAGTAGAGGACGCGCGGGCTCGGGGCACTGCACCGGCGTCGGGGCCGCCCTGGTCTGTTCGTCTCCCCCTCGGTCCCCGCGGCCCAGACGCCGCCGGACGTCTTCTCGCTCGTTGCCGCCCAGCGCGCACGGTCCCGGGGCTGGAGAGCCGGCTGGAGAGCCGGGGACTCGCGTGGCTCCGTGGTTCACTCCCTTTGCCGAGAAGCCTTGGCCTTGGGGTGGGGTGGGGGGGCGGGCAGGAGAGGCTTTGTCTATTCCGCCCCACGTGAGCCTCGGATTTGGCGGGAGGCTGTGGAGCCTCAGCCGGCGGTGATGGGGCGGAGGTGGGGGAGGGGGAAAGAGGACTTAGATATCCCCGCCCGCGGGGTCAGTTAGCCTGGAGGCCGCCGGGTCCCACCCCAGAGATGAGAAAACTGACGGCAGTGGACGGGTTCAGCGCCAGATCCGGATTCCAAATCGAGACGCAGACCTTGGACTCTGGTTTAGAGCACTTTCCCCAACAACTGCTTATAGTACCTGCCTGGGTGTGGTCAGAGTGCGGTCTTAGAACTGTTAGAAATTATGTGCAAACACTGCCTGTTGGTAGAAAACAGTTTGTTAATGACTGAGTGACCCCAGGAGACCCTAGGAGAGTCCTGAAATCCTCAGCAGCCAAGTGGCTGTGCTGGCAGGGATTTATTTATTCATTCATCCACCAGTAGGAATGCGCACCTGGTGCTGAGGCAGTGGTGGGACTGAGGGACTGGCTGGAGAAGCACAGCCAAGGCCTCTGAAGAGTTGGCTTTGGGTTTGGGCCTGGGCCTTCTGGATTGGATTGGCCTTCATCTGGTGGGCCTGGGAGGAGCTGAGTAGATTGGGGACCCAGCATAAAGCGCCCCCACTTTTTCAGGAAACTGCCTAAGTCCACCACCAGGCTTTCCTGCCCTTCCTGCCAAGTCTTATCTGCAAGCTCAAACCTGACTCAGTGGTTCTCAGCTGACTTCTCTCCCCAGAGGAGAGCTAGGGGAGCTGCAGAAGGATGTGGTTTTTCCACATTCCATTTCCACTCATCTGGGGCACATGGCAGGCAGGCTCTGACGTGGGGAGAGCTCTCCTGGGCCTGAGTCTGTGCCATCTTGGGGCCGGGGAATCCACTGGGAGTTATGGGTGACTGTTCGTGGGAGAGAGTCAGGCCTCAGGATTAGGAGGAAAGAGGCAGGGGAGTCATTTGGTTTTAAAGGTGTAGGTGGGCAGACCTCTAGTGAATCATCGAGAAGAAGAGACCTACTGCCCAGAGTGTGAGCGCTTTTGTCCCTCTGGGCAGCAGGGGAAGAGGTGCTGGGCAGCGCCCACAGGAGACCTTGTGCAGCACTTCATGGCTGGGGCTCAAAGGCAGCATCTCATGCGCTCCCTTGAGCACCCTGGGTGCTTGTGCTGTGGGGCATGGGGTTCACGAGGGACAAGGTGCTTGCTGTCTTGTGGGAATGGAGACACAGATGCGACTATACGTTGGGATGCAGACCTTGGTGCTGTGGGGGGGGGGACACGGGGTGGGTTGCTATTCGTTTTGTTTGAGGAGGTTAGACTATCAGGTGGACTCTGAAAGCTGAGTTAGGAGCTTGGCAGCTAGAGAAGAAGGGGGAAAGCACTCAGGGCAGCTCCGGATGCTGCGGGCGGTTGCCTAGGTGGAAAAGGGGTGTCTCTAGCTGGGAAGGGGCACTGCATACCCTGCTCCAAGGCCTTGCCCAGGGAAGCTCACAGCCCTAGCCACCCTGGGAAACCGAGTGGAGGAACCGGATACTCCAATGAGAATGGCTGTTCAGGAGCCCCAGCGGTGCCCAGGAGCCTGGACTCAGGACGGATGAGGGCATTTGGGGAGGGTGAACATCTGATGATGGGGCTTACCAGGACAGGAGTCCTGGCCTTGCAGAAGGGTCGTCAATAATGGTCTCTCAGGTGGAGGGATTGGGGACTGGGACAGAGGCTGTAACTCTTGTCAGTTTTCAAGGCCAAGCAGCTGTCCTGATGAAGGATTGTGTGTGTCCTGGTGGTGGTGCCCAGGACACTGCCTCTGGACTGTCGGCCATGAGAACCCTCACTCTGGAGTTGTGGCCACTGGAAGGGCTTTCTATGGTTGCACCTCTGATGACCGTTTGCCAGGCTGGGGCTGTGGGGGGGGCAGTGCAGTCCTGGAGTGCCCCAAGGCCAGCTGCCCACCCCGTGGGGCCTCCCATGCACAGGATCTGAGTAGCAGCACCAAGGCTCCACATTTGGCTGGCCACCCCCACAGGCCACCTGTATTCTTGCCCCAAACCACTGACAGTTCTGAAAAGGACAGCTCATTGAGGATGGAGATGCTCAGCCATGACATCCAGAGCTCACTGTGAGTCAGACGCCCTCACAGAGGACTCTACATGCATTAACTAGCTCACATGGACACCACAGTAATGAGAGACTAGGCTATCCCTGTTCTTCAGATGGGGAAACTGAGACATAGAGAGGTTAAGTGGCTTGCCCAGGGTCACAGCTGAGTGAGTCAGACTCCAGAGTCCCAGCTGTAACCATTTTACTGCTCTTTTGGATTCCCACCCTCAGTGCTCCATGCCCCAAAGACGGCCCACCATGAGGACCGAGAGGACTGTGGTCTCTCTTTGGTTCCCTTCCCTTGCAGGCAGCCCAGGTGACACAGTAGTGATGTGCGTGGGAGAGGGTGATGCCTCACAGGGCAGTGTCATGGGCCCTCAGTTGGATATCGCCCCAAGAACCATTCCGCAGGTCCCCGAGATCCCCACCCCTGATTCCCCTTCTTTTCCTGCATGCATCCGGCAAAATGGGGAAGTTTCAGATGACAGGCAAATGTGTCATGTGGATGAAGCACCACACAACCAGTTCTGGAGGTTCTGCTGTCTTGCAAATCGAATTCTAGGTTGGCTTTTTGGGTATTTGTGGTCAGGGTCCTAGAAGCTACCAACTTAGAAAATGAGGAAGTGGTTTGTTTTAAATTACCCTCTCCCCTAGGTAATCTATCATCCTAGAGGTGATGGGGGTGATGCTGCCAGAGGTGGAGTTTTTTTTTTTTTAATTATTGGGGAATTGGGGCAGGGGAACAGCGTTGGGGAATCAGGGAAGGGGAACAGACACGTTGCTGTCCTTTTGTTCTTCAGTCTAGTTGTGGAGGACGTTGCTTCACTGGCCCATGTTGGTATTGTGATCATTGCGCTCTTCCCGGGTGAAGCAGTTGCTCACTGGCCATTGGACGGCAGCTCACAAAAGCACACGCCAGCTGCCGGCCAGCCCCACTGCAGCCTACGCCAATGCCGGCAACTCACTGCAGCCCAGCTCCAGGTCGAGCTGTTGCTCACCATCTTAGCTGTAGAGGGCGCAGCGTCACTGGTCCGCATGTGGGATCCAAACCTGGGCCCTGCTGCTCAGAGCTGGTATCCCGAGCCAACTCTTAACTAATGCAGTGGAGTTTTAAAGGGGAAGACAAACCCTCAGAGTCATAGACTGTGTTTGAAAGAGGACCAGTTACTTCAGGCCCACAGAGTAGCTGCACCGAGACTGCCCCGAGTGGCCTGGTCAGCTCTGTGCCCTGGTGGAAGGATGTGGGTGTCCAGGAGAGGGCTGCACATAAGTGGGGCGGCGGGTCACCATGGGGCCTTGTGCAGAGCTTCATGCCTAGGCTTCACGGGGCCCCCAGCTCCTGCCCTGCTGATAGCTGTGCTGACCAGTAACCAGGTCAGCGTGCACCTTATATGCTCATGTGCTTAACAGACCCCTGTCTTTAGAGGAAGGGAGGCAAGTGCTGTGGCCTGGGTCTGCGCAGGCCTGTCTTTGAAGTTCCAGATGGAGGGAGGGAGAGAGGGAGGGAGGAAGGGAGAGAGAGAGACAGAGACAGAGACAGAGAGACAGAGACCAACTTGCTGAATCTCCCCATGCTTGTCCTATGTGTACCCCTGGCCCTAATAAGCTTTATCTGAGGCCAACGATAATGTTGCTGTATTTCTGTTAGTGAGCGTCTCCGCATCCTTACTTGGTTTAATTTGCATAACCGTATTCTCATTTGAATTCTCATACTAATTCTGTGAAGTCCTGCAGATGTGAAACATTCATGGTGGAGTGTTTCTCACATACTTGCTCGTGCCTGACTGACAAGTGTTCAGGGGCCACAGCCCTGGGTCCAGCTGGCCTTATTTTAGGAGCTCCTGCTTGAATCTGTCCCCCTCCGCCCAACACACACAGTGAAGGGAGAGACCTTTGAGTGGCCAATACATGTTGGGCACTTACCCTGTTCTCTTTGATCCCATGAGGCAGGGGCCTGTTCCTTTGTACAGATGAGCAAAGTGAGGTCACGTGGCAGCTGTGACCCCCCTCCACCTGTCTACCTTTAGAGGATCCTTCTATGGCCTAGGAGTGCATGGCATTATAATGTACTGCTTTGCCCTGGAGACTTAAGGAGTTGAGCTTTTTGGGGGTTTAGTCTGTTTCTCCAGGGAGAGCCAGCTGAAGTCAGACCTGGAGGGATTGGAGTCTGGGGCTGCAGGAGAACAGAACCGGATGAGGTAGGGATAATGGGTCAGGGATGTGATGCCAGGGAGGGGGAGGGGGAGCAAGTGGGAGTAGAAAGTGGGCTGAGGCATGAAGGCTCCAGGGAGGCAGCAGCCTGGTGTGTCTCCTGGGGCTGAGTGCTGGAGAGGGACCTGGAGCTGAGTACCTGATCTATGAGAGTAAAAGTAGCCCGAGGCCTCAGCATATGTGTGCCTCAGTTTTGGAGAAGGTCAGCTGGTAATGAGTCAGAGCCACCAGCAGCCCCTCGCAGCAGCATTATTAGTGCATTATTATTATTATTATTATTTTTAAGATTTTGGGG